GAATTATAATTACGTGTAATTAAGTTTAAAAAGTTTGATACCATGTTTCCATTAATGGCTGCATTTTGAACGATATTATAAATCTAATCGCACTGAAAGAAAAGGAATGATCGAATTAAGCAATGGTATTCGGTTTGAACGATCTATATAAAATCATGATTAGCAGCTTTTAGCTTGAATGGAAATATTATTATATAAATTAAGAGAAAAATAAGCATTTTCTTGTTCAAACTAATTTTAAGAGAAAAAATTGATTGACGACATCTTGCTGTTCTTCAGAAAAATGCAAGGTTGCTATAAGATTTTAAAATTATTAGAATTGGAAAAATTCTTTTCTTTTAATACTCAGAATTTTATACAAGTAAACAAATCACTAAAATCATTTGGGTACTTGCACTTCAAGAAGATCACTGATGCCTACGCATGCAACATATGACGTCAGATCTAGCTCTTTATAGGCAAAATGACATATTATAGTTCAGCTAAGTTTCTTCACATGAGTTAGAATGCTAATTAGCGTGAAGTTACTTAAATACAGCGCTGTATAACGCATCGAATTTGTTGAAATATAATTATTTCTACACTGTTAAAATTTTTATTTTAAAATTATGGTAAAATAACTGGAAGCTGTCTGTCCATCCGATTAACCGTAAAAATTACGGTAAAGACCATTTTTTTCCTTTATGGTTTTGAAAACATTTACAAAAAGTACAGTTATAAAACCACGAATACAAAACTATATAGTTTTTTTTTAACCATTTACAACTAGCATTTTTCATAAAAGTAAAAAATAATTAATTATTTAACTTGACATGGGAGTTCGGCATTCCGTAAGGTAATAGGCATTGGAGAGTGCCGGACACTGAAAATTTTTCATGTATTGAAGGAAATGGAAGAAATATTGTGGTGTCAACACTAGGACTCGAACTCCAGTTCTGCCGGTCATGAGATTGACGGATAAGCCCGCTCGGCTATGATATCGGGTTGAGTAAAAAGTTTTCCGCCAAAAAAAAAATCCTGAAAAATGACAAACACATAAAAAATCAGCAAAGCTAATGAGAATAGTTATCTCCATTCAAATCAACAATAGTCTGCCAACGTTTTGGCAACTTTTCATTCCCTTCTGCGAAGAACTGGGGGGTGCGCGAGTAGAGAAAGCAATCGACTTCATTTATGACCTCGTCATTTGAACGGAAGATTGTGCCATCAAGATGCAGCTGCAGATTTGAAAACAGATAGTAATCCGAAGGCGCCATGTCTGTGCTGTATGGTGGATGTTGCATCAAATCCCACTCTAACGTGTGGAGCGTCATGCCGGTCATTGCACTAACATGTGGCCAAGCGTTATCTTGATGAAAGAGAATCACCTTCCTTCTGAGCTCGTTTTCTCGTTTTTCGCGAATCGCATCGCTAACTTTGATTAGCATATTGCTGTATATTGTACTGTTGATAGCCTACCCGCTTTTAAGGTACTCCTTGTAGATAATTCCACGACAATCCCACCAGATACGGAGAAGGACCTTCGTGTTAGTTAGCGTTCGTCTTGCAACCGAACTTGCGGATTCCCCGGATGCTGACCACCCTCCTCTACGGCTAGTATTGTTGTAGTATACCCATTTTTCATCACAGGTCACAATTCTGTCCAGAACGTCCTCTTTTCTTTGATCTCTGTGCAGAACCAAACAGGCCGCTTTTCTCTTGCTCTAGTCTTCAGTAGTCAATTCGCGAGTCACTCAACGGTTAAACTTAACTGTTAGATTTATGCGTTTGAGAGTATTTGCTATTGTTTTTTGGCAAATGTCAAGCTCTAACGCAATAGTTCGTGTTGAAAATTTCTGTCTTGAACAATAATTTGCTTTAACTGGCCACAATCAACCTCAATAGGGCGGCCAGAACGTGGTTCATCTTCAATGTTGAAATTCCCAGTATTAAACTTTAGAAACCAAACTTTTACTGTATCCTCATAAGAAACAGTATTGAAACCTAAACTTTCACACATTTTCTTGTGGCATTCAGTTACACCTAGTTTATTTCGGAACTCATAGTACATAATGGGTCTGATCTGTTAACGTGATAGCTCCTTTTTAAGAAATTTTTTGGTGCACAAGATGATAAAGTTTTGACAAACAAATTACACAGTTGTGTAGTTCCAACTTTCTGCTTTAAAATACAAAAGCCCGTTTCAAAAAAAGTTAACCACCACGGCAATGGCTGCTGCTAGCACGGAGGTATTTCCCTTTGGCGGAAAACTTTTTACTCAACCTGATATGTACTCAGGTGCAAAGAATTAAGTAGCTTCATTAGGTGGTTCTAGTTGGTGAGATAAGATTCTGGTTGTTTAACCGTATTAGGTGAAAGCAGTCAATAAACAATTTTTCACAAACTTAACAGTTTGATTACCTTTTTATTTACGGTTATTTGACTGTTTTGATTAAATATGGTAAAATAACCATTCACTAAATTGTTATTTAACCATTTTTTTCCGAGAAATTTTTACAGTGTGGTCTACATTTTACTTAACTTAGATTTATTATTTGTTTTTATGTTTTATTGTAACCGTGATATATTTTTGATTTGTGTACCTGGCAGCTTCGATGCATAGTTAGTTTGTTTGTGTTCTACATGACTCTGTGCTTGCTTTTGTGTTAAGTAAGAAATATATAGTGAAAGAATCGAAATTCTTGTGAAAGAATCTTTGTGCAAAAATGCAGAATGTGTCACTTAAGATAGTTGATATTTAACAGGCTTGGCTTTCGAAATAGAATGGAAAGAACAGTTGCTAACGTAAACAAATGGCGCACTTCAGCAATCAATCTGGATCGAGATATCCACACTACTTCAATTGCAGGTATCCCCTATGCAAATTACGCTATGCTTAATCAATCAGCAAATTTAAAAAAAAAAATTTTGGGAAATTAAATTAAATTTTTTTAAGATCAGAAATGTATATTATAGTTTTTACAGTTTACAACTTCAAACAATTAATTTATTTCCTATAACCAGAACTATTCCATAAAATCTGCTACCTAGTCGTTACAGTTTTTATTTGTTCTGATCCTCTTACTCCATTTGGTTGTGATACTTATCTTACTTTTTTTTTACAGCAATTTCATTTTACATAGTCTTTAATTGACTTTATAAATAAAATATCATCATTCCCAATAATGATCGTATTCTATAAACAATTCCATTGTTCCAATAATATTATATAAGTTGAGTATTACATACAAAACGCACAATTTAATTTGGCGTTTTATTGAGAAATTTTGATGTATTTATAATAGCTTACGATTAACAATGCTGAAAAAAGTTGTAAGAACGCGCAGAAAGGCTTAAAGACTTACAACTTCTTCGAAACATGCATCATTTTCAGTGACAAGACAAAGAGGGATGAGATTTTTTGTTTTGTGTTTTAGTTTTGATGAAGACATTTATTTATAGTATCGGAATAGCTATATGGCTTTTTATTATTTTTATTACAGTTTATTGTATTTTTTCAGTGTCATTTGTTTCAGATCAAAGATAACCCTATCACTGTCTTTATAATTTATTAACTATCTTAATTAATAAAATATTAGTTGAGTAATTCCTTGAACTTATTTTGAAATTAAATTTCATGCAAAGCGGATTAGTCGGGCTTATAAAAATGTCATATAAATTGGAATATTTAGTAAAAAAAAAATTTAAATAAATTTTTCATTAAATTTTTTAATAGCAAATGTTATGTAAACGTTAAAAAATAATATAAAAATTTTTATTAATAATAATTTATATAAAAAATTTTATTACTAATAATTTATATAAAAATCTTATTAATAATAATTTATATAAAAATTTTATTAATAATGATTTATATAAAATGTTTTATTAATTTTATATTAATAAAAATTTATATATTAATTTGTATTAATTTTATTATTTTATTCAATGGTATAAAATAGTAGTATTTAAGTTATTTTCAATATTTTTACCAATTCTTATTGCATAAATATATAAAGTGTAATTTTTTTTAGATCAAAGATATCTCTATCACAGTCTTTATAGTTTATTAGCTACTTAAATTAATATCATATTAGTTGAGTAATTCCTTACACTAACTTCGAAATTAAATTTCATGCTAAGCGGATGACTTTGGCTAATAAAAAAATTATGTAAATTGGAACATTTAGTTAAATTTTTTAATTAAAATTTTCACTAAATGTTTCAATAACAAATGTTATATAAACGTTGAAAAATTATATACAATTTTTTATTAATAATAATTTATATAAACAATTTTATTAATAATAATTTATACAAAAATTTTATTAATAATAATTTATGTAAAGTGTTTTATTAATTTTATATTAATAAAAATTTATATAAATTTTTTATTAATTTTATTATTTTATTCAATGGCATAAAATAGTAATATAAGTTGATTTTAATATTTTTACCTTAATATCGCATAAATATGTAAACAATAAATTTCAATAGCTTTCCTAACCAATAAATATTTATTATATAAATGTGTGAATGTTTGAAATCAATGCTAAATTATATTAAAAATGGCTTTTATTCGATAAAATTATTCTTATTCATAATTATTTATTATTGTTGGGTTGAATTTTATATTAGTTAATAAGTAACATATTTATTATACAGATTCGTAAGTGTTAATTTTGAATATTCATTTAAAAATTGATGTTATAAAAAAATTGATTTTCCTGTTCATATTTTTTTTTATCATTTGATGTATTTGCTATATTATATTTAAAATTTTTAATAACATATTTATTACAATAAAAACTAAGATTATTTTTATAACTAAGATTAATAATCATTATTTTTCTAAAAAGTGGCCTTGCTTGCATATTTTTTTAGTAAAATTATAAAGAAATTAAAACTGAGTTTTATAACATCAAAGCATTTAAGTATCGATACTGACATAAATTAAAAGGAAACTACGATATATAACTGCAAAACATCATAACAGAAAAAATTGAAGCAGAAAAACTTACCTTAAATCTTAGGATACCTATTGGAGGGGTCGCATATGGTATTCCTCGGAAAGCATAAAAATCACGTCCATTTGACGTTTTTAGAATTCGTCCAATGACTAAACCTTGATTTAAAGTCAAAGTTGTTCCATATTCTTGACTTCGAACACTCCAAAAGCAAAAAAGGGAACAGATGACGATGAAAGTTGTAAATATATTAAGTTTCTGTGCGTAGAACATGTTGATTAAGAATATTTCCAAAAATCTAACTAATGATACAAGACTTCAGTGAAATTTGAACTTGAAAACAGTTTGGTAATCACAATCAGCTTCAAATGTTCGAAATAATTGGCACTATTTTAATTTATAAAAACCTGCAGTACGGAATTGAAACTAAACTAAAAGTTTTGTAGAAATTTGAAAATTCACATCTTTACGAAAAAAAATATCACCTGTTCTCTCTCAATCAAATACAATTGTTAAAAAGCAAACGATAAATAAAAAAGCTCAGAACAACTCAAATAAAAACTAATTCAACTGGCAAACTTGAGAAAATATGTTCTGAAACTTTTTTTTTCAAATATGAGGAGTTTCAATATTCTTTAAGGAAGATGAAGATGTTGAAAGGTGAGAAAGATAGGGAGAGAGAGAGGAATCAATCAATCTTGCCTTGAGGCTACTTCATTTATGCTTACTAAATGCACGTGCGGTGAAGTTTTTGTTCGACCAAACGATAATAATAGAACCTTTTTTTCCACTCCTGCACGGTGTAGGGTTGTGGGTTGGCGACCTAAATTTGGCGGGGAAAAGGATTATGAGCTTTGAGATAAAACATTATTGTGAGAATAGAAAGATGCGGGGACCAGCATACCTGTGACGGAATTATTACGCCCACCTGTTACGAATTTCTTTACGAAATTTATGAAAACTCGTGCGAATGTTTACAAAAATATGTTTCGGAAACATGATGTCACACTTTTGTTTGGTCTTTTTTTTTTTAATAAAAAGATTTATTAATGATTTTTTATCAGCCAGTCTTTATTAGCTGATTATGAAACTTATTATTAAATAATTAATTCCTTTATTACAAGAAGTCATATTTGAAAAAACATTTAGCAAAGGAAAGATAAAAGTAGAAAGAAGCTAGAAATCAAACTCTAATAACAAACAATTGAAAGTTTGTAATAATTCGCACGAATGTTTACTAAAATATATTTTATAACTAATTTGAGAAATCTCTTAAATTTAGGGAACATTTCGCAAAGAAAGTAATCAAAATTGAAAGCAATCAAATTCTAATACCAAGTAAATTAAAGTGCCTACTTGCAATTCGCACGAAAGTTCCAAAAATAAGTTTCAGCAACATGCCGTTCTCGTTATTTTAAATATATATATATATATATAATAATAAATAATGTAATTATTTTTATAATTTCAACGAAATTTATTGTGAAATAATTAATTTATTTTTTACGTGGTGCAATATTTTATATTTTTTAAAATTCTCATAAATTTAAAAAAACTACACGGCGAAAAAAAATCTTTTAAAATTATCGTACAATATGGTAATGACACTTCTGATTAAAAAAACCCCCCCATAATTTTGGAATCAAATAATAAAATATGAGTAGTAATAAAGTATAAAGTAGTAGAATATTTTTCTATTCATATGGCAACGGCTAAAGGAAATTCTGGTTTTCAAAAATACAAATCTAATTCCTACACATTTAGTAAAAAGTGCAGAACTGAAAAGCAAACTTAACCATTTAAATGGTTTCATGCCATGATGCCAGGATCTAAGTTATAGAGATAAAAATACCAAATTTACCAAATATTAGCACACATTATAAAACTATATTTTATTGTTAATTTTACCAGCAGTCATTACTAAAACGCTTCAGTAAAAATTACCATTTTTTCAGTGATCCCGTAGAGCCAGAAACGCGATAAACTTTACCATATTCTGGTAGTTTTGACCATACTTTTCAGTATTTTTGAATAATTTTCATTTTATTTCATTCATTGAAATGTGTTCTAATGATATTAGTTATCGAAATTTAAATTTTAAAAACTGAAAGCATTTTTAAACTTTTTCAAAGTTAAGAGATTTTCAAAGTTCAAGTTTTGTATGTACTCAAAAAACATTTTGGTACCTAAATTCAATAAGTATTTTTTGAATAATTTTCATTTTATTTCATTCATTGATATGTGTTCCATTGATATTAGTTACCGAAATTTGAATTTTAAAAATTTAAAGCATTTTTAAACTTTTTCAAAGTTAAAAGATTTTCAAAGTTCAAGTTTTACATGTACTCAAAAAACATTTTGGTACCTAAATTCAATAAGTATTTTTTGAATAATTTTCCTTCTATTTCATTCATTGATATGTGTTCTATTGATATTAGTTATCGAAATTTGAATTTTAAAAATTTAAAGCATTTTAAAACTTTTTCAAATTTAAAAGATTTCCAAAGTTCAAGTTTTATATGTACTCAAAAAACATTTTGGTAGCTAAATTCAATAAGTATTTTTGAATAATTTTTATTTTATTTAATTCATTGAAATGTGTTCTACTGATATTAGTTATCGAAATTTAAATTTTAAAAATTGAAAGCATTTTAAAACTTTTTCAAAGTTAAAAGATTTCCAAAGTTCAAGTTTTATATGTACTCAAAAAACATTTTGGTAGCTAAATTCCATAAAACAGATTTCAATGAATAAAATGAAACAGAAATTATTCAAAAATATTTATTAGTAACTGATTTAATAAGGATAATACGAACGTATAGCTTTACAAGGGTTAAGACGGTTGAAATAAATTCATTTTTCTGAAGGGAATCATTAAGGATTCCCTTCAGTCAGACAAGAGTTCAAATCCCGGGGGTTAAATGAAATGTTTGGGCAATGTGATCCAATGATATTGCCATCATGAGAATCGTGTAAGCTTAATAATGAATAATGTTTAAACTTTTTTTAAATGATATTTAATCGATTAGTTTAATTGCAAAGAAATAGATGGCAACGTGATGTTTTCTACGCCATTGCTTTTATAACTATTTTAAACGTTATCTGTGAAATAATGTTTTTAAAATCTTGTTATGGGAAACAAATTTTTTTGATGATATCTAAGTCTTTGATAATAAGTCTTTGTTTTCTAATGATATCTAATCTATTAGCTCATTAAAAATAGATCTCAGCGTGGTGTTTGCTACGCCATAGCACTTTTCCTCAAAAGTTTTTGCGATTATTTAATAGTTCTGCATATTTAATAAATGTCTGTCACTCATACAGTTTAATTTCTTATTTTACTTCAACCCCAACGAAATGGATTATTATTTATCGAAACGAAATTATTATTTATCAAGACATGAAGAATTTGGAAGTATGATAAGGAAAATAAAACTGTAAAGAAAAACTTTAAAGACAGTTGGACAAGTTAAAAATAAATATTGAATAAAAATAACAGATTTTAATTAAATATTGCACGAATAATACTAATGTTAAGAGTAAATTTCATTTTTTTCCCCTGAACATTTGAAGACATTAGAAAACGAAATCATCGTTTTTTTCTTCTATTTATTTAAATTAAGTCTTATGGAGTTTAAGACTTTCTTCTGATTTTATAAATTTGACTAAAAATGTGCAATAATTTTGCTTTTTACATCAAAATTTCGCTGAAATTTGCTTTTTACATGATTATACTAAAACTATAATCTTTACTTCACTTGTTTACAAATTTTGAATCCTCTTTATTTCATATTTCATAACAAGAAAAAAAAAAGAAACCGGGTTAAATTCATGCTTACTGAGTCTGAAATTTTCATTCAAAAGCATAACTAAAAATGTACTGCATAAAAAGTCATTCAATCTATAACTATTTATATTTATTGAGTGTATGTATCTTTTTGATAGACCTGAAAATTTAAATTTTCAGTTAGTAGCCAATGGCCGGTAGACTCTACTAACTTAGTAGCCACTGTTCCTCCAACCCAATGAATTCAATACCGATAGGTCCTACTTATTTAAAAGACATTGTTTTTTTTTTCTTGGATAAAATTATATTTTCAAACAAAATCATATTGGAAATAATCTACGGCTACAAAAAGTTAATTCAACAATAAATATAATATAAATACTCGACAAAATAATTTAGTTGAACATACTGACTTGACTTCACCGTTCCAGAAAATTGGATGTACAAAAATAATAATTAAAAAAAAGATGGCAACAAGTGTCCGGTTGTTTAATTTAATTAATTAACCACTTTTTTACGTTTACTTGCCACAAGGTGACTGGTTACTTCTAGGTCTACTTTTGGAAAAGAAATAAAAACAGTTTTGTGATAGTTAAATATTTGGAGCTCATTATTACGTTTTTTTTTCTTTTTCAATGCCCACCTGTGTTAACATCCGTCAATTCAGGCATTTACAGGGCGATTTTGCTGGCCTCTCTTTCAGGGGTACTATATTAGGTGGGCCAACGTCCCACCTAATATGGTGCCTAATATGGCCAGATAGTACAGCGAAGGAAAGAACATCCATGCCTTGCCCGCGATTCGAACCCAGAACCTTTCTGATGCAAGGACAGATCCGTGCCCCCTACACATGCCGGTCGGCTTCCTCATTATTACGTGTTTTCTCTTATTTTCATTGTTAATACAACTGTTATATTCTATTTAAAGAATAAATCTTTATCTGATGAAAAATGTTCTATTATTATAAACTATTAATACTTTTTAATATATTTTTATTACGTAATCATAACTTTATTATATATATATCTACTTTAAAAGAAATACTGAATATTAATTAATGATACATAATCTACGGTTTAATTATTGGCACCACTTTTACTACACAGAGAAAAATATATGGTTAAGACTACGAGAATATGGTTAAGTTTACCGTGTATCTTGCTCCTATGAGAACACATAAAAACTCCGGTAATTTTTACTGAAGCTTTTAGGTAATTATTTTGGTAAAATTAACAAAAAAGTATGGTTTTTATAAAATGTGATAAAATGTGGTAATTTTACTTAAGAGCATGGCATAAAAACCATTTTTCAGTTAAATTTCTTTTTCAGTTTTGCATTTCTTACTAACGTGTGGTAAATGATAAATAAGTACGGTAATTTCATCGGAGTTTTTTGCTTCCTGAATTCACAAAATTCATGAACATCATATATTTAAGAAAATGGATAATTAAAAAAAATTAAGTTGATTGTTTAATATAAATACTCCTCTAATACTCAAAATATAGATACAATGGAATTGTACATTGTCAGATATTTTGGACCGCGTTCAAGTTGAACCGTAATATCAAGCATATTTGCAAAATCGCGCTGTGTTTAAGAAATCAAACGTTAAGACTTTAAATCAAGTGCTGTTTACGAAAATTTTAAAGCTTGTATAAAATGTTATCTCTCTGTATCAATAAAATCATATCGTTAAATCACTGAATAACTCTAAAATAAATATTATTGTAAAAATTACGGTGTAATATTTTACGCTAAAAATGAATTTTACGGTAAAAATGGATTTTGAGATAAAATGGATTTTGCGTATGATGCACCAAAAATGTCGATAATTTTTACCGTAATTTTTTACAGTGTGGTTTGACAAGTAGTGCAAGGAAAAATAATAAATTCTTATAAATTTATTGCTATTTTAAAAGCAATCCTACGAAAAGTCGGCGATATTAATATTTTTATTTACAGGAAAAGTAAGGTAAAAGCTGAATGGGAAAATACGCAAGATAGCCA